CGCTCTTGTTGTAGACAATGGATCCGGAATGTGCAAAGCCGGATTTGCCGGAGACGATGCTCCAAGCGCCGTGTTCCCATCCATCGTTGGAAGACCACGTCATCAAGGAGTCATGGTCGGTATGGGACAGAAGGACTCGTACGTCGGAGACGAGGCCCAATCCAAGAGAGGTAACTATTTTTAAACGAAGACTTTATTTTCATTAATTCTTTTTCAGGTATCCTAACTCTCAAGTACCCAATCGAGCACGGAATCGTCACCAACTGGAATGGAGAATATGGAGAAGATCTGGCATCACACCTTCTACAACGAACTTCGTGTTGCCCCAGAAGAGCATCCACATCTCTTGGAAGCTGGAGAGCGAGGCAAGGATAGATCCACCCATCCAAACGGAATACTTGCGCTCCGGTGGGGCGATGATCTTGATCTTCATGGCTCTGAAAAAAATCCGTTTAGTAATGAAAAAAAATCAAGAGGCAGCTACTGAGAACTTACGATGGGGCAAGAGCGGCGATTTCCTTCTGCATGCGATCAGCAATTCCTGGGTACATCGTGGTTCCTCCGGAGAGAACGGTGTTGGCGAATAAGTCCTTGCGGATATCGATGTCGCACTTCATGATCGAATTGTAAGAAGTCTGGTGGATTCCGGCGGACTCCATACCCAAGAAGGATGGCTGTAAAAATATCGATATTCTGATGCTTGGGATATTGAATAAGCTTACCTGGAAGAGAGCCTCTGGGCAACGGAAACGTTCGTTTCCGACACTGATGACTTGTCCGTCAGGAAGCTCGTAGGACTTCTCAAGAGAGGAGGAAGAAGAAGCTGTGGCCATCTCTTGCTCGAAGTCGAGGGCGATGTAGCAAAGCTTTTCCTTGATGTCACGGACGATCTCACGTTCGGCGGATGTGGTGAAAGAGTAACCACGTTCGGTGAGGATCTTCATGAGGTAATCAGTGAGATCCCGTCCGGCCAAATCGAGACGGTGGATGGCGTGTGGGAGAGCGTATCCCTCGTAGATTGGGACAGTGTGGGTGATACCATCTCCAGAATCGAGAACGATACCGGTGGTACGTCCGGAAGAGTAGAGTGACAGGACAGCTTGAATTGCGACGTACATGTCTGGGGTGTTGAACGTTTGGAACATGATTTTGGTCATCTTTTCACGATTAGCCTTTGGGTTAAGTGGTGCTTCGGTGAGGAGGACTGGATGCTCTTCTGGGGCAACACGAAGTTCGTTGTAGAAGGTGTGATGCCAGATCTTCTCCATATTCTCCATTCCAGTTGGTGACGATTCCGGCTCGATTGGGTACTTGAGAGTTAGGATACCTGAAAAAGAATTAATGAAAATAAAGTCTTCGTTTAAAAATAGTTACCTCTCTTGGATTGGGCCTCGTCTCCGACGTACGAGTCCTTCTGTCCCATACCGACCATGACTCCTTGATGACGTGGTCTTCCAACGATGGATGGGAACACGGCGCTTGGAGCATCGTCTCCGGCAAATCCGGCTTTGCACATTCCGTAGTAACTAGAATTTCTCAGAAATTTGAAAATAGAATCCTATTTAGTATCTGAAATGACGCTCAGAACATGATTTTAGTAAGCAGATGTATAAAACTGTTTATCATAACAGAGCCCTTGAGAGTACCAATTTTGTTAGTCAAAAAGACATCATGATTGATAACTAAAACTGAGATCCCTTTTCAGTTCACCCAGGCATGGGATATATTCTAAAATTTTGCAGTTTTTTTCGTGGCTATTCTGTAGTTTGAAACCCTATTCAAACGATTTGAACAAAAACAATCTCTAAAACTTGTCGTAACTTTTTTGAACTTGAAATTTTCCAAAAAATCTAAATGCAGATTCAAAATCAGCATCTGAAATGGCTTCTGGCAAACGATACACGGTTTATAAAAGTAAGTGAGATCCCTTTTTGATACGCCCAAGCATCAGGATATATCCCGAACGTTTGCATTTTTTTGCTCTAGGCATACTGTAATTTGTAGTTTGATTCAGAACAATCTGATTTTTGATCAAGAATTTCGTAAACAACAAAAAACCTCTTCGAGTCCGTTTCTGATGACTCAATATATTTTGATGGATTTCTCTCGCGTCTCTCACCCTTTCGCACTCCATCGTTGGGCGGAGCTTGCATAACAATGAAGCATGTGATTGTAGATAGCTGATAGACAGTTGGTCATTCGGTCATGTATTTTCGTTACTCATCGCCTGTTTTTCTCCGCTGAAAAGTTTTCTTTTTCTCTATTTCACCATCCACTTCCTACCGTATGTAATATTAATGTAAAGCCACTCCAAAAACTAGTCGTAACTTTTTTGAACTACAACATTTCTGAAATCCAAAACTAGAATTCTAGATCATGATCTTAGCGGACTGTTACCATTTTTGTTATAACTTCCCAAAATTAGCTTGTCTCGTTCCGTCGTCTATGCTTTGATGGAATTTCAGGTCAGGTTTTGTTGAGCGGTATGAATTGTCAGCTGGTGGCTTGGTGGCTCCTATTAAGTGATTTCTACTGTCTTGAAATCATTCCAGCAAATATTTTCTACGCCCATGAACATTTTTGCGCCTTTATGAAACATCCAGATGACCATTTCCGATGACTCAATAAATTTCGATGGATTTCCCGCGTCTCTCATCCTTGCGCTCTCTATCGTTGGACGGGCGTGCATAACAGTGAGACATGTGATTGTAGATAGCTGAAAGCCTATTAGTCATTTAGCCCTGTATCGTCGCTTGTTGTCGTCAGTTTTTCTATGCTAATAATTTCTGCTCATCCCCTTCCTACCGTACGTAACATAAGTTTGATGCACCCTCGCATCAGGATAAATCCAAAAAGTTCGCATTTTTCTTGGACGTATACTATAGTTTCGAACACCATTCAGGCATGGGATTGTCAATAGCAGATAGGTAGTTAGTCATTCGGTCCTGTATGTTCTCTCGTCCACGCCTGTTTTTTCTCTTTGCTCTTAGATTTTTTTTCATTCCCACCACCCCCATTTCTACAGTGCGTAGTATTAGTATAAAGCCACCCCAGAAACTAGTCGTAACTTTTTGAACTATAACATTTTGAAAATCTAAAAGAGAATCTTACTCAGCATCTGAAATGGCTCTGGAAAATAATTTAGGTGACATGTTTCATGAAACTGACCAAACGACCGAACAGAAACCCAGTATATCATAACAGAATTTTCGTATCCAAATTGGTAGTTTTGGTAGTCAGACATCATGGTTGGTAACTGTAACTGTAATCCCTTTTCGGTACACTTGCGCATTTAGGTATATCCCAATAGTTTGCATTTTTCCTCTAGGTATACTGTAGTTTGAAGCTTTATTCAGAACGATTTGGTTTTTGATCAGCTATTTCGTAAACAACAAAAAACTCTTCAAGACCATTTCCGATGACTCAATAAATTTCGATAGATTTCCTGCGTCTCTCACCCTTGCAATCTCTATCGTTGGGCGGGGCGTCCATAACAGGGAGGCATGTGATTGTAGAAAGCCGATAGCCAGTTTGTCATTCAGTTCTGTATCGTCGCTCGCGGCCGCCAGGCTCAATATTTTTCTTTTTCTCATTTTTACCATCCACTTCCTACCGTATGTAACATTAGTGTAGCGCCACTCTAAAAACAAGGTGTAACTATTTTGAACCATACGGAAATTCTAAACTAGAATTGTAGATTATGATCTTAGTGAACTGTTATCATTTTTGTCCTAACTTCCCAAAGTTGGCTTGCCAGTTAGTCATTCGCCCCTGTCGTCGCTCTTTATCGCCCGTTTTTCTCATGCTCTCAATTTTTTCCTATTCTCACCACCCCCATCTCTACAGTTCGTAAAATTTGTATGAAGCCACTCTTACTTGCAGGCACCGTTCCCCCGTATCTAATAAATCATGTGCGACGACAACGTTGTCGCTCTTGTTGTAGACAATGGATCCGGAATGTGCAAAGCCGGATTTGCCGGAGACGATGCTCCAAGCGCCGTGTTCCCATCCATCGTTGGAAGACCACGTCATCAAGGAGTCATGGTCGGTATGGGACAGAAGGACTCGTACGTCGGAGACGAGGCCCAATCCAAGAGAGGTAACTATTTTTAAACGAAGACTTTATTTTCCTTAATTCTTTTTCAGGTATCCTAACTCTCAAGTACCCAATCGAGCACGGAATCGTCACCAACTGGAATGATATGGAGAAGATCTGGCATCACACCTTCTACAACGAGCTTCGTGTTGCCCCAGAAGAGCATCCAGTCCTCCTCACCGAAGCACCACTCAACCCAAAGGCTAATCGTGAAAAGATGACCGAAATCATGTTCCAAACGTTCAACACCCCAGCCATGTACGTCGCAATTCAAGCTGTCCTGTCACTCTACTCTTCCGGACGTACCACCGGTATCGTTCTCGATTCTGGAGATGGTATCACCCACACTGTCCCAATCTACGAGGGATACGCTCTCCCACACGCCATCCACCGTCTCGATTTGGCCGGACGGGATCTCACTGATTACCTCATGAAGATCCTCACCGAACGTGGTTACTCTTTCACCACCACCGCCGAGCGTGAGATCGTCCGTGACATCAAGGAAAAGCTTTGCTACGTCGCCCTCGACTTCGAGCAGGAGATGATCACCGCTGCTTCTTCCTCCTCTCTTGAGAAGTCCTACGAGCTTCCTGACGGACAAGTCATCACCGTCGGAAATGAGCGCTTCCGCTGCCCAGAGGCTCTCTTCCAGGTAAGCTTTTTCAATATCCCAAGCATCAGACAATCGATATTTTTACAGCCATCCTTCTTGGGTATGGAGTCCACCGGAATCCACCAGACTTCTTACAATTCGATCATGAAGTGCGACATCGATATCCGCAAGGACTTATTCGCCAACACCGTTCTCTCCGGGGGAACCACCATGTACCCAGGAATTGCTGATCGCATGCAGAAGGAAATCGCCGCTCTTGCCCCATCGTAAGTTCTCAGTAGCTGCCTCTTGATTTTTTTTCATTACTAAACGGATTTGTTTTTTAGAGCCATGAAGATCAAGATCATCGCCCCACCGGAGTGCAAATATTCCGTCTGGATGGGTGGATCTATCCTTGCCTCGCTCTCCAGCTTCCAAGAGATGTGGATCTCCAAGGAAGAATACGATGATTCCGGACCTTCTATTGTCCATGGCAAGTGCTTCTAAGCTTCCGATGCACTTTGTATCCCGATGTATCCTTTTTTTTCTACTCCGAGTAGTTTTCCTCCTCTATTCATTTAAACCCCCCCCCCCCCCCGGCCCTTCAAAAAATTTTATGCATTTTTCTCATTTTTATTTTATTAGTTTTCTCACTTTGCAATAAAGATAAATAACGCTCACAAACATTCAATATTTCAGAAAATATTAAATATTAAAATTATTCTCTCATAGGCAAAAAAAGTCTTCCGCTGATACCTTTTTTTCGCTGATACCTTTTTTTGCTTATACGTTTCTTGGCAATTAAATTCAATTACGAGCCAAAAAAGGCGCTATCTGTCTTTTAATTCTGTTCAACAAAGAAGCCACATGAACTTGTCGGTTCTAATACACGATCCGCATCACTTCCGGCATATTTTCTTCAGTTTTTGTCTCTGATAATGTGAGAAATCCATTTTCTTTTTTGAAAATGGTACATAAAGATAGAGAAATAAGAATAGGCATTTGAGAACTTACGTTGGATGAGAAGTTTCCATTTTAAAGAAAAGTCATCATCCGAAACAGCCGAGCGGGTCCGTTTTGGCCAATTGAGACCATCATAGCTAGTTGCCAATCGATGCGCACAGTGAAGGGTCATGTGTCTGGCGGTCGAGCTCGTCTGCGCATATCGCCCTTCATATCCGTCTTTTGGGACAAAGAGAGAAACACGCACTTTACACATTAGCATAATCTCGATCGGTAAGGTATGCATTTTCGGCCAAGTCTTAAAAAATCGGTTTTAATCATACTTGTAAAATTCCGGGCCGGCCCGCCAAAGCCCGGGCCCAGGCCCGGCCCGTTACAAGTATGGTTTTAATGAAAATAAATACTCGTCAAGAGATGCTGAGCATGTTAGATGCTAGAACAAAATAATGGGAGGTATTTTGGTAAGAAAAAATGAAAGAAACACATAACGGGAGACGTAGAATGACTTTGAGGAAGGAAAAAACATCATCTAATTCGAACTTGGCGGCGGGGTACGCAAGAAGTGTTCCAGGTGTTTGCGGACGAAATGAGAGCTTTTTTGGCTCGTATTTGAATTTAATTGGCAAGAAACGTATAAGCGAAAAAAGGTATCAGCGAAGGACTTTTTTTGCCTATGAGAGAATTGTTTCCTTTGAGATTTTTTTCAATGTTTTCTGAAATATTGAATGTTTGTGAGCGTTATTTATCTTTATTGCAAAAGTGAAAAAATTAATAAAATAAAAATGAGAAGAACATGATGAAAAAAATAAGGATACATCGGGATACAAAAGGCATCGGAAGCTTAGAAGCACTTGCGATGGACAATAGATGGTCCAGCATCATCATATTCTTCCTTACAGATCCACATCTCTTGGAAGCTGGAGAGCGAGGCGAGGATAGATCCTCCCATCCAGACGGAATACTTGCGCTCCGGTGGGGCGATGATCTTGATCTTTATGGCTCTGCAAACAAATCCGTTTAGTAATTAAAAAAAACATCAAGCGACAACTACTGAAAACTTACGATGGGGCAAGAGCGGCGATTTCCTTCTGCATGCGATCAGCAATCCCTGGGTACATCGTGGTTCCTCCGGAGAGAACGGTGTTGGCGAATAAGTCCTTGCGGATATCGATGTCGCACTTCATGATCGAATTGTAAGATCCTGCGTCCTCCTCCTCTCTCGAAACGTCTTATGAGCTTCCTGACGGTCAAGTCATACACGTCGGAAATGAGCGCTTCCGCTGCCCAGAGGCTCTCTTCCAGGTAAGCTTATTCAATATTCTAAACATCAGACAATAGGTTTTTTTACAGCCATCCTTCTTGGGTATGGAGTCCGCCGGAATCCACCAGACTGCTTACAATTCGATCATGAAGTGCGACATCGATATCCGCAAGGACTTATTCGCCAACACCGTTCTCTCCGGGGGAACCACCATGTACCCAGGGATTGCTGATCGCATGCAGAAGGAAATCGCCGCTCTTGCCCCATCGTAAATTTTCAGTGGCACATAGTTTGGAGGGTACAACAATTCGGGGGTACAGGGGAGTACAATATAATTTAGTGGTACAAAATCGCCAATTCAAGGGTACAAACTAAGCATGTTTCAGGTATTTTGTATCCTCGCATTGAGGATTTTGAACCCCTAAATTTCTTTGTTCCACAATGAGCCCAAAACTTTTGTACCTCCGAATTATTTGTTGTTTTAATTAGCTACCGCTTGAACATTACTAAACAGATTTTGTTTTCAGAGCCATGAAGGTCAAGATCATCGCCCCACCGGAGCGCAAGTATTCAGTTTGGATTGGAGGATCTTACAATTCGATCATGAAGTGCGACATCGATATCCGCAAGGACTTATTCGCCAACACCGTTCTCTCCGGAGGAACCACGATGTACCCAGGGATTGCTGATCGCATGCAGAAGGAAATCGCCGCTCTTGGCCCATCGTAAGTTCTCATTAGTTGCCTCTTGAACATTACTGAACGGATTTTTTTTCAGAGCCATAAAGATCAAGATCATCGCCCCACCGGAGCGCAAGTATTCCGTTTGGATGGGCGGATCTATTCTCGCTTCACTCGACAGCTTCCAAGAGATGTGGATCTGTAAGGAAGAATATGATGATGCTGGACCATCTATTGTCCATCGCAAGTGCTTCTAAGCTTCCGATGCCTTTTGTATCCCGATGTATCCTTATTTTTTTCATCATGTTCTTCTCATTTTTATTTTATTAATTTTTTCACTTTTGCAATAAAGATAAATAACGCTCACAAACATTCAATATTTCAGAAAACATTGAAAAAAATCTCAAAGGAAACAATTCTCTCATAGGCAAAAAAAGTCCTTCGCTGATACCTTTTTTCGCTTATACGTTTCTTGCCAATTAAATTCAAATACGAGCCAAAAAAGCTCTCATTTCGTCCGCAAACACCTGGAACACTTCTTGCGTACCCCGCCGCCAAGTTCGAATTAGATGATGTTTTTTCCTTCCTCAAAGTCATTCTACGTCTCCCGTTATGTGTTTCTTTCAATTTTTCTTACCAAAATACCTCCCATTATTTTGTTCTAGCATCTAACATGCTCAGCATCTCTTGACGAGTATTTATTTTCATTAAAACCATACTTGTAACGGGCCGGGCCTGGGCCCGGGCTTTGGCGGGCCGGCCCGGAATTTTACAAGTATGATTAAAACCGATTTTTTAAGACTTGGCCGAAAATGCATACCTTACCGATCGAGATTATGCTAATGTGTAAAGTGCGTGTTTCTCTCTTTGTCCCAAAAGACGGATATGAAGGGCGATATGCGCAGACGAGCTCGACCGCCAGACACATGACCCTTCACTGTGCGCATCGATTGGCAACTAGCTATGATGGTCTCAATTGGCCAAAACGGACCCGCTCGGCTGTTTCGGATGATGACTTTTCTTTAAAATGGAAACTTCTCATCCAACGTAAGTTCTCAAATGCCTATTCTTATTTCTCTATCTTTATGTACCATTTTCAGAAAAGAAAATGGATTTCTCACATTATC